GGGGCAGTGTGGAGCCTGCGGGCACCCAAGCCACAGCGTCACACCCAGGGATCTCAGCAGGCACCTGGGGTATCTCAGAAGACAAGTCCGTGTGGAAATGGTTCTCTAAGCTAGAAAGCTTAGAGAACCAAGCTTACATAATGACCTTGTAAAAGCAGCATTAAAAAGAACAGCAAGGAAAATGGCCAGTAGATGGCCCCATTGCAACACATTACATAGCATCCTATTACACTCTTAAGTTCAAGAAAGTGCATCCAGTCATTTCCAAGGGATGCTTTTCATGGAAATGATAATTACATTTCATAGATTCTTTTTATTTTTGCAATTAAAAATTAGCACTCTTTTCCTTGAGGACAAAATCATATATTTTGAGAAAGGCATTTTAAGTGCAAGAAATAAACACATGTATTAAAAATAATCATATTTAATACCTATGCACCCAACATCTCAATTTTATTTGGATGAACCTTCCTGCCTTTTTGCAAGGCGTTCCATAAACTGCAAATATATTTGACTCATTGAGGGTGAAAGTCACTCCAGGGTGCTATTAAATGTTTATTCATTTATCAATAAAGATTTAACAAATACAGAAATAGAGTTGTGTCATATTCTTCTCTCAATATATAACAGATATTTTATAGAAATACTCAATAAACTTGAATTATCCCCTCCCCATACTTCTCTTCTACTTTATGTAAACTTTTATACTCAGAACGGCCTCCATCTGGAATTAAACACATGGTTGACCTAATCCAGTTTCTATACCATATGTGAATAATAATAATAATAATAATAATATCCCACCCATCTGCCCATCTGGCTGGGTTTCCCCAGCCACTCTGGACGGCTCCCAACAGAATATTAAAAACATGATAAAACATTTAAAACTTCCCTAAACAGGGCCGCCTTCAGGTGTCTTCTAAAAGTCAGATAGTTGTTTATTTCCTTGACATCTGAAGGGAAGGCGTTCCACAGGGCAGGTGCCACCACCAAGAAGGCCCTCTGCCTGCTTCCCTGTAACCTCACTTCTCATAGAGAGGGAACCGCCAGAAGGCCCTCAGAGGTGGACCTCAGTGTCCGGGCTGGGTGGAGACGCTCCTTCATTTGGAAACCTTGGAGATGCTGCACCAGTGCTAAGTACATACCAGTGGAGATAGCAAATACTACCTTTGTCAACAACAAATTGCTGCTGTTTTTTGTGTTGAATGTATGCTATATGAAGCCAGTGTGGTGTAGTGGTTAAGAGCGGTAGTCTCGTAATCTGGGGAACTGGGTTCGCTTCCCCGCTCCTCCACATGCAGCTGCTGGGTGACCTTGGGCTAGTCACACTTCTTTGAAGTCTCTCAGCCCCACTCACCTCACAGAGTGTTTGTTGTGGGGAAGGAAGGGAAAGGAGAATGTTAGCCGCTTTGAGACTCCTTAAAGGGTGTGAAAGGCGGGATATCAAATCCAAACTCTTCTTCTTCTTCTTCTAATATGGTAATTTATGGACCTAATAGGTATCTAAAGCCATTTGCACATGTTGCCATGCAGCCGGTCCATGCAGAATGTAGGCACCCTATATAGTCATACCTCGGGTTGAAGTTGCTTCAGGTTGAGTGCTTTCAGGTTGCGCTCCGCGGCGACCCGGAAGTAACGGAATGCGTTACTTCCAGATTTTGCTGCTCGCACATGCGCAGACGGTCAAAATGACGTCACACACATGCGCGGAAGCGGCGAATTGCAACCCACAGACGCGCAGACGCAGGTTGCGTTCGCTTCAGGATGCAAACGGGGCTCTGGAACGGATCCCGTTCGTATCCAGAGGTACCACTGTATATAGAAATGAGCAAACCAGTGATATTTTAGGGAGCAGGTTAGCAAGCCTTACATTACTTACATCATAGGAGCCTACATAACATAAAACACTGTTGCTGTATGTAGGGTTTTTTTTTATCTTATATTTTGGAAATGTACATCCAGTTTTTTTTCCCTTTAAATTTTTTTGGGGCCCCTAAGAGAGTGGGGCCCTAACCTATAGCTTGTTTAACTTATACATAAATCCAGCACTGGTGGAGAGTGCTGAGGGCCAAACAGAGAGTCTGAGTTCTGCTTTCGGACCCAAGGCCTGAGGTTCCCCATACCTCTGTTGGGCGATAGACAAGGGAATGCACCTCCGCTGGTTCTCCTTGACCTCATTAACCATTGTGCTCTTCTGGATAGACTCAGGGAGGTGGGACGTGGAGGTCCTGTGTTGCTATGGTTCTGCTCTTACCTGCAGGGTCACTACCAGAAAGTAGCACAACAACAACAATTTATTATTTATACCCCGCCCATCTGGCTGGGTTTCTCCAGCCATTCTGGGCGGCTTCCAACAGAATTTTAAAATACAATAGTCTATTAAACATTAAAAGCTTCCCTAAACAGGGCTACCTTCAGATGTCTTCTAGAAGTCTGGTAGTTGTTCTCTTTGACATCTGGTGGGAGGGCGTTCCACAGGGCAGGTGCCACTACCAAGAAAGCCCTCTGCCTGGTTCCATGTAACTTGGTTTCTTGCAGCGAAGGAACTGCCAGAAGGCCCTCGGCACTGGACCTCAGTGTATTAAAATACAATGATTCATCAAATGTTTAAAGCTTGCCTAAACAGGGCTGCCTTCAGATGTCTTCTAAAAGTCTGGTAGTTGTTTTTCTCTTTGACATCTGAAGGGAAGGCGTTCCACAGGGCAGGTGCCAGTACTGAGAAGGCCCTCTGCCTGGTTCCCTGTAACCTCACTACTCCCAGCGAGGGAACCGGCAGAAGGCCCTTGAAGCTGGACCTCAGTGTCCGGGCAGAACGATGGGGATGGAGACACTCCTTCAGGTATACTGGACCGAGGCCGTTTAGGGCTTTAAAGGTCAGCACCAACACTTTGAATTGTGCTCGGAAACGTACTGGGAGCCAGTGTAGGTCTTTCAAGACCGGTGTTATATGGTCTCAGCGGCCGCTCCCAGTCACCTGTCTAGCTGCTGCATTCTGGATTAGTTGTAGTTTCCAGGTCACCTTCAAAGGTAGCCCCACATAGAGCGCATTGCAGTAGTCCAAGTGGGAGATAACTAGAGCATGCACCACTCTGGCGAGACAGTCCGCAGGCAGGTATGTCCTACCTCTGTAGAATTCCCCTTAAAATTGACTTTTTGATTTGTGCTGGTGACACTGCTATAATTTTTATAAGAATTACAATTCTGAATGAGGAACAAAAATCACTGCACCAAATGCTCTTAAATTATTCTGGTTTTTGCAGTTTCGTGTCTTCCTTTTTTGCAATTTAATCTTGAATGCATCATACAAAGGAACTTTGCAATGAAAAGTTGAAAGCCATGCTCGCTGCCCAAATGAAAATTCTGAAATGGTGGCCACTGGTGGGTTTACTTGGAAGTAAGTCCCCACTGAGCATAGTAGGACTTAGTAAGAATGCACAGTGATCTGGCTTCTACTTAAGATGGGCTATTCTGTCCCCTGCATGCCCCTGGACACATAAAATAAAATATGACCCGGTTGACATTCTTTAATATATTGCTCTTAATGTGAAACTAACGTCTCAAGCTCTTTCCTTTTTTTTTTTTTAAAAAAAATCATCTGTAACAAGCAAAATGTGCTACACTTTATGATTGAGTCTGAAAGTGCTAATCAATGCCTGTTCTTCCCCTCCCCCTGTCGGAGACCTTGATCGGAAGGAAAATGCTGAAATATGATTTTTTAAAAATCATAAAAATGTACACATAATATTCACATTTTTTTCCTGCATACCACTTAGAGCATCAATTTAATGATTCCCTGTTGCTTGACACTGGGCCTTGGCATGCCAGCTCACTCTAAGTAGGAGGCCTCTGCATTGATTTCAATGTAGGGGTCTGCTGAAAGATTGATGATGTGAGATGGCTCGCTATATTTTCATCAAATATTCAAAGAATGTACATAATTCTCCGGCTAAGTTAGTTAAATTCCAGTATATTTGGCTATGAAACTGAAACCAATCTTAAATCCACATGCTAAAATCCGCTCCCCCCCCCTTTTTTTAACTAAAAGAATGGTATACAGTGGACGCTCGGGTTGCAAACGTGATCCGTGCGGGATGCACGTTCGCAACCCGCAGCGTCCACAACCTGCAGTGGCGCATCTGCACACACGCGGGTTGTGATTCGGCACTTCTGCACATGCGCAAAGCGCGATTTAACACTTCTGCACATGCATGACCTCCAAAACCCGGAAGTAACCTGAAAAAACACAACCTGAAGCATCTGTAACCCGAGGAATGACTGTATATAAAAAAGGGTTTAGTTGCTGCCTTTACCTTGGTTGACATAGGTCACATCTATGCCATACATTCAAAACAGATGGCTTCCTCCCCCACAAAGAATCCTGGGCACTGTAGGTTATCCCTTGTAGAGCTATATTTCCCAGCACCCTTAACAATCCCATGATCCTTTGAGAGAAGTTGTGCACCTTAAATCAGGCTTCCTCAACCTCGGCCCTCCAGACGTTTTGAGACTACAATTCCCATCATCCCTGACCACTGGTCCTGTTATAGGCCAAAAAACATCTGGAGAGCCAAGGTTGAGGAAGCCTGCCTTAAATCATAGAACAGGCATAGGCAAACTTGGCCCTCCAGATGTGCTGGGACTACAACTCCCATGATCCCTAGCTAACAGGACCCGTGGTCAGGGATGATGGGAACTGTAGTCCCAAAACAGCTCGAGGGCCGAGTTTGCCTATGCCTGTCATTTTGTTGTTGTTGTTTAGTCGTGTCTGACTCTTCGTGACCCCCTGGACCAGAGCACGCCAGGCACTCCTGTCTTCCACTTCCTCCTGCAGTTTGGTCAAACTCATGCTGGTAGCTTCGAGAACACTGTCCAACCATCTCGTCCTCTGCCATCCCCTTCTCCTTGTGCCCTCAATCTTTCATAGAATCACAGAATTATAGAGTTGGAAGGGACCCTGAGGATCATCTAGTCCAGCCTCCTGCAATGCAGGAATATGCAGCTGTCCCATACGGGGATCGAACCTGCAACCCTGGCATTATCAGCACCACGCTCTACCCAGCTGAGCTATCAAGGCTGCCCCGTGTGCTAAATGAGCTTTAAATGTACGGGATAGAAGAGTCAGACTAGACATCCCCCAGCACTGAAGTCTATGCCCAACCCAAGCAGTCACCCACACAGAGACAACTGCACACATTCAGAGCCTTCAGAGACCACATGCTAGAGACAGGCAGGGCCAGGAGCAAAAGCAGGCAGAGCAATGGATGCGACTCTTGCCTATTTGCGCAATAGGCTACATTTCCTCCATGCAAAGACCAGAGATTTCTGTACACACATATCTCTCATCCTATCCAGACGACCAGTAGGCATTTTTACCTTTCAATGACACACTTCAGCCAGGAAAAAGCACTCAAGGAGGGTGCGGAGTGTAGGAATAAATTTAGGAACTAGAAGAGGATATATTAAGGGATGCGGGTGGCACTGTGGTCTAAACCACAGAGCCAGGGACTTGCCAATCAGAAGGTCGGCGGTTCGAATCCCCACTATGGGCTGAGCTCCCGTTGCTCGGTCCCTGCTCCTGCTAACCTAGCAGTTTGAAAGCACGTCAAAGTGCAAGTAGATAAATAGGTACTGCTCCAGCGGGAAGGTAAACGGTGTTTCCATGCGCTGCTCTGGTTTGCCAGAAGCGACTTAGTCATGCTGGCCATATGACCCAGAAACTGTACGCCGGCTCCCTCGGCCAATAAAGCAAGATGAGCGCCACAACCCCAGAGTCGTCCACAACTGGACCTAACGGTCAGGGGTCCCTTTACCTTTTAGAGGATATATTATTTAGTTATTATCCTTCCTTGCTCACATTAGTGAGATCAGCAGAGTACCATTCTTTGCAGCTTTGAACTTGGAAGCTAAGGCAATGTTGCTTCTAAAAACAATGATTCAAGATGCTTTAAGGCAGACTGGATTTTCCCTGGTATTACCCCCTTTCTCCCTCTTAAAAGCAACATTCACATAGACATTGTTTAGTGAAGAAGTAAAAGTAGTATTTACTTACATTATCTAGGTCTTGAAGCAGCAATTACAGTAGCAAAATGAAAGCGGGCTTATAACTACTTATCTAGGTTACAAAAGCTCAGAACAGTTTCTGAGCTGCAGAGCTCAGACATGCATGTGTGGTCAGGCATGATGAAGAAAAAGAGAGGTGCCCAGGCAGGAAGGAAGTATGACGTGTTACAGCTTCCTGCCAAAGGAAGTGATCTCACAGAGTTCCTTCTAGCAAATTTTACAGGAAAGCTCTGTGAGCACCAGCCCCTTCATGGGCCTATCTGGCAAAACACGAATTGTCAGTTTGACTGCAATAATGTCTCACATGGAGCTGGTCCAGCGGGAGGTGTGGCTTTGGAAGGGAGCTTGGCTTAGACAGAGTCACAAGTGCCAGAGTGGCCTGGTGGGCTACATTTGGCCCCCGGGCCTGAGGTTCCTCACACACACTCACACAATGTACATAAAAAGGTCAGCTCAAGAGATTAAAGGAACAGGGGTAGTCTAGGAACCTTGAGGTCCCCAACTCTACTTATCTTAACCCATGCAAACTCCTCTTCGGCAAGTTGTGTTGCATGCAAGCTTCCAACAGTGGTTTCCTGTGACTCCCGTTTTCATCTTTTGCCGTTCTTCAGCTATGCAAAATGTTTGCGGTTCCTCCTCCCTTCCTTTTCTTCTATTTTCTTTTTCTTATTTTTAGAAAGAGCAGCAGCTGAGAAGAACTTGGTGTCCCTGGATCTTTGAAAGCTTTCGAAAGCCAGCCTGTGGCCTTAGACAGATCGTTAGAACTGGCAGGCATCCTCCCATTGCGATAATTACAAAATAAAATAAAATCCGATTTTCCTACCACATGGCATGCCATAATGGGCCCCTCCGAAGTGTGAATTATGGATGAGAGTGAACATTTTAAAACCTTTCTCGGATTTTTATGTCCCATCTTCCTTCTTGGTAATCAGATCTTGATTAAGTGTTGGAATTAGTGCCCGGGAGAATATTTCGGGTTTCCGGTCTTGGCTCCTCTTGTAGGATTCTCTTCTCTGTGTAGGTCAGACAGTCAAAATGATTCACAGGCAATAGAGTTCTGCTGCTCCAAGAGTGGAGGGGAAGAAGATGTCTAAATGCCCATTGATCAAATGTAAGTGACATCTTGCTGCCTTTGGTGGTACCAAAAAAAGAAGGAAAAAGCTACTGAGTATATTATTTGCTAGCAACCCAGTTCTCTGCGATGGGATTAGGGTGATACAAAAGGGGGGGGTGGACATCCCCATTCCTTGCACAGATATAGACCCTGGATCCGTTCATCAGCATACGATAGGATAATCTTTATTGTCATTGTCCCATACAGAACAACGAAATTGGGGGAAAATCTACATCGGACATTCAAAAACCAACAAGCCTGCTATCCCAACTATCCCAGCCTGGTTAGCCCCTAAAAACTCTGACACAGTGGTACCTTGGGTTAAGTACTTAATTCATTCCGGAGGTCCGTTCTTAACGTGAAACTGTTCTTAACCTGAAGCACCACTTTAGCTAATGGGGGGCCTCCTGTTGCTGCTGCGCCGCTGGAACACAATTTCTGTTCTTATCCTGAAGCAAAGTTCTTAACCTGAAGCACTATTTCTGGGTTAGCGGAGTCTGTAACCTGAAGTGTATGTAACCTGAAGCGTATGTAACCCGAGGTACCACTGTACATAATTAAATACAATATACTCACATAGAGACTACCTTACACTGTATTTAAAACCAAAATCGCATTTGGATAGAAACTGTCTCTCAGGCAGCTAGTCCTAGTCTTTATAACCCTGTACCTTCTTCCAGAAGGCAGAAGCTGAAAGAGATCATTTCCGGGGTGCGCACTATCCTGCACTATCTCTGCAGCTTTCTTATGGCACCTGGAAGCATAGATTTGATCCAAGGTGGGAAGAGTGCACCCAATTATTCTCTCCACAGTCTTTAAAACCTTGGACAGCCTAGAGATTGCTATTATTTACTGCATTTATATCACATCGTCTTCCTCTAAGGAGCTCAAGGTGGAACTCACTGTTCTCCTATTAATTTAATCCCCGCAACAACCCTAAGAGGTAGGTTAGGCTGAGAAGGAGTGACTCACCTAAGTCTTGGCTGACCGGGGACTTGAACCCTGCTCTCCCAGGTCCCACTCTGACACTCTAACCACTACACCACACTGGCTAGTGAGTGGCAATGGAGGCAATGAATCATAGCCAGAAGCAGCCTACTTCAAGGGGCATCATGGGTTGGGGTGGGATACATAAAACCCAAAACTGGTCCTGAACAGTGGGGCAAGGTTTTTTTAGAACAGGGAAATGGCCCTCTAGACTTCTTTATCTGGTCCTCAGGACTTCCTTCTAGTCAAGGCTCCTCCCCAGACGACAACAGGTTCTGCTCAGAGGTTCTACCTCAGGGGTCAGCAAACTTTTTCAGCGGGGGGCCAGTCCACTGTCCCTCAGACCTTGTGCGGGGCTGGACTATATTTTGAAAAAAATGATGAATGAATTCCTATGCCCCACAAATAACCCAGAGATGCATTTTAAATAAAAGGACACATTCGACTCATGTAAAAACACGCTGATTCCCAGACCGTCCGCGGGCCAGATTTAGAAGGTGATTGGGCTGGATCTGGCCCCTGGGCCTTAGTTTGTCTACCCATGTTCTAAGTAAAGGGACCCCTGACCATTAGGTCCAGTCGTGGCTGACTCTGGGTTTGCGGTGCTCATCTCGCTTTATTGGCTGAGGGAGCCGGCGGACAGCTTCCAGGTCATGTGGCCAACATGACTAAGCCGCTTCTGGCAGACCAGAGCAGTGCACGGAAATGCCGTTTACCTTCCTGCCACAGCGGTAACTATTTATCTACTTGCACTTTGACGTGCTTTCAAACTCCTAGATAGGCAGGAGCTGGGACCAAGCAATGGGAGCTCACCCCGTCGCGGGGATTCGAACCGCCGACCTTCTGATCGGCAAGTCCTAGGCTCTGTGTTTTAACCCACAGTGCCACCCGCATCCCAACCATGTTCTACCTCTTACCTTTTTGCATCACTAGAAAGTGCATTTAATATTGGGTGGGTGAGCGCTAAGTGTGTGCCTTGGATTCAGATTAATCCAGAGGTGACATGGGCCTCTGAGAGGGATTTGACGTTTATCAGAGGTGAACTGTGATTAACTGCTTATTTTTTTTATTTGTTAAATCAGCAGTTGGAAGGAGCGAAGAAGCAGCAGTGGGGTTGTAGAGCAGGAACAAGCAGGGATGAAGTGCCATCGCTTTTTTCAGAGCACGATGATGACGTCATCCCCTGCTATTTGCCAGTCCTCTGCAGGCCAAATAAACAAGATTTTCTCGGGGTGAAACTGGCTCAAAACAGTGAAGAAGACTTTGAATCCAGCAGGATTCTTAAACAGGTTGAATGTTAAGCAACGGGGGAGAGGGGCCAGGGGAAAGAAATGGCTTAGAATGGAAGCCGTATTGTCTGCACTGGTCAAAAAGTCATTTGTGTCCTACAGTTGTAGAAAGGGTGTGACAATAGGGGGTTGTCATGAAAACCACCTGCAGGTTATCACATTTCCCACTAGAAATCATAGTACAGTAGTACCTCGGGTTAAGAACTTAATTCGTTCTGGAGGTCCATTCTTAACCTGAAACTGTTCTTAACCTGAGGTACCACTTTAGCTAATGGGGCCTCCCACTGCTGCCGCTGCATGATTTCTGTTCTCATCCTGAGGTAAAGTTCTTAACCCGAGGTACTATTTCTGGGTTAGTGGAGTCTGTAACCTGAAGCATCTGTAACCTGAAGCGTATGTAACCCGAGGTACCATTGTATGTGTTTATCCACCCTGGATAAATTCTGGACAAGGCAACTGTGAGTTTCAATGACATCTGTATGGCCAGATTCTCACTCAGTATGTCAGTTCATTGGTATGAGGCTGCCTAAATATATTTCTAACCCTCTATTACGTTGGCTTATTTATCAGTTTCTTTCCTTTAAAGCATTTCCCTCCACACGGTCACTGAAAAAGGCTCCCAGA